AAGCAGCTTCAACCATTGCTGTACAAAGCAGTTCTCCGATGGAATAGATTTATGAAGTAACAGCTGAAAGGTATGCAGATCACACGATACATGACAAATGTACTTTATTATATGGATCAGAAATACCATATGTACTAGCAGTTACCCAACTAAGACTATTTAAAGGTTTTGCTGATATTGAAAACTATAAAGACACAATGTGAGAATGAGAAAGTGTTTCATAAGATAGTACAATGACAAGATAAGTCATCGCTTTAGGAAATTAAATATATTCTGCATATTATAAACTTACTGTATTATAAAACTATGCCATTCTTTAAATCAAAATGCAGGAGACTTTACCCCATTCATTGTTTAAAGCAGATGTTTATAATGTTTTTTGATAGTTTAAAGTGGAACTTAGTGGAATGAATACCAGACTTAACATTATCAAATTTAAGATTTCAAATTTTGTTATCTCCACAAAAAGATACTGAAGCCTGCAATCATGTAGTGCCAAAAGACTATGTATGGAGACCAAAGAAAGCACAATACATGTCAGACATGACAACTTCCTGCAAGGCATTTCTTGACTGGAAAGGACTTTAGCAGCTTTCAACCCGAATTCCATGTACAGTAGTCTCCCCTTATCTGAGGTTTCACTTTCTGCAATTCAGTTACCTGTGGTCAACTGTGGTTTGAAAATATTAAATGGAAAATTCCAGAAATAAGCAATTCATGCCACTCTGAGTAGCAGAAGGAAACCTGAGCTGTCCGGCCTCCATCCTGCCAGAGACGAGGATCTCCCTTTGTCCTGTGCACATACACGGTACATGTAGTCCAGTAAGATATTTTGAGAGAGATCACACTTACATAACTCTCATTACAGTGTACACTTGACCCTTGAACATTGCAGAGGTTAGGGACACCGAACTCACCACCCACAGTCGAAAACCCTCATATACCTTTTGACTTTCCTAAAACTTATATACAGTTGTCCCTTGGCATCTGAGGGAGATGGTTCCAGGATCCCCTCCCCCAAATCTGTGGATGCTCAAGTCCTTCATATAGAATGGTGTGGAACAATGCCATTCTATAGTCGACCCTCTGCATCCCTGGATTTCCAACTGTAGATTAAAAACAGCTTTCAACCTGTGGTTGGTTGAATCCACAAATGCAAAACCCAGGGATAAGGAGGGCTGACTGTGTATTTATTGAAAAAGAACCTGCCTCTAAGTGGATCCTCACAGTTTAGACCTGTGTTGTCCAAGGGACAACTGTACTGTTACAAAGTTTCTCTTTTGTTATTAGTTGTTAGTCTCACACTGTGCCTAATTTATAAATTGTTTACCATAGTTTAAGTATATATAGGCAAAAGCATAGTATATATAGGGTTCAGTACTATCTGCTGTTTCAGATACCCTCTAGGGGTCCTGGACTGTATCCCCTGCAGATAAGGAGGGACTACAGTGCAGCGTTTGAATCCATTCCGCTACATTCAGATCAGGTGGCTCTCCAGCCTCAGCTGAACAGGGTAGTACTCCTAAGGCTGCCTGTGCCTAACCCAAAGACTTGGTTAGGTTCTTCCGTAGGCCGAATCAGCCTGTCTCTCTCAAGCTTCCCATCACACGCCTTCATTGTCTATGCTCTGGAACAGTCATGCTCACTAGTTAATAATTAACTAGCTCGCATGAATTTGGGCAAGTTTACTTATCTCTTCAAAACTGTTTCCTCATCTGAAAAGAGGGATAATAAGAGTATTGATCACACGGCACTGTTTTAAGGATTAAAGGAAATAAGTTAGGTGAAGCGTTTAACACCAGTTAAATGCTTTCTATAAATGTTGGTTGTTGTTATTAATCTACCAAATTAGTCTTACATGATACCACATTCTGTTTTTCTCCTGCTCTAAAATAGGTGCCAAAGACCCTTGGCATTCAATTATGTAAAATTCAGGGGTTTTTGTAGGCAGGCACTAAGCTGGCCCCAGCGTTCCTGCTCCTTGACAGGGCCCTGAGAACAGCAGTGGCCTCTGGCCTGGCGTAAGTGCTCAACAGCTCCCCGCCCGCCTCCACCAGTTCCTTGTGAAATTGGTATGTATCTGCTGCAATGGTATTTTTATATGCTGACAACTGCAGGGAAAAAGAATTCCATTTTATGACTAACATGAGCCTGAATCACTCTGCCAAGTGGCCTCAGAAGTCAGTCACTTAGCTAGTAAGCTTAGTCAACAGTCCAAACATCTGCATCTCAACTGAAGTATTTATAAATTTGGCAATTCCTTGAAGTCTCTTTAGATTTCTCCCGTTTATCTCACTTTGTGGCTAACACTTCACTAGTCAAAACGACACGTCACTACCCCTTATCGTCATTATCCAGTCTGTTTCAGAAATTTAAATTGTCATTGTTAGCCAGTTTTTTCTTCTCCAACTCAAACTTTCTAATAAATACCTATATTCTGCTACACATTTATGCTAGACAGCATGTGAATTAGTGGGAGGAAAAGGAATCTACATCACTGTGACATTAGGAAAAAAGGAAGTGGTCAAAACCATTATTTAATTCTACCTTAGAATTTCAACTGCAGTTCCCATTTCTTCTAATTAGTAGCTTAGGCACTGGAAACCTTGGGCTTCACCTTTGGGACTGGGTCGGCCCTTTCTAGGGGAGTGCTACCTGGGGAACTCCAACCCTGTTCAGGCCCAGAGATTTAAGGAGGGGTTTAGAAATCGTTTCTCTGCTAAAATGTTCTTTCTATCTGATCCTGAGCTTGCATCATGGGTTGAATCAGTAATGGGTATTCTTCCCTAAAACTACCTTTCTTAGCAAGTTTGCACATCCTTTAGAGGCAGAATGTCATTGAAGAATGTAGTCTCTGGAGCCTATCTGTATTTGAGTCCCAGCTCTCCCAATTTTAGCTGAATGGGCCGTGTGCCCCAGTTTCCCCATGTGTAACAGAGATAGTGTTAGTAGCCAACTCATTGATTGCTCAATGAGTTAGTAACTTTAATTGAACCGTTCAGGAGTAAGTCATTTAGACTAACGCATGACATATGAAGCAACTGATAAAATGAAATAAATTTTGATTATCTTTAGTTTCTTAAAAATACAAAAAATAAAATCTTACATTCTATTTAGAATGTGATTTAGCCCAGTCTAATTCCAAAAATGATTCGGTGCTTAGCTTGAGCTCCATCTGGTGGTTCTACAGCAATTCCCTGGAAACCATGAGTCAAATAAAAAGATGATTAACTTTCAAAAAAAATAATCTTTTACTCAAAGATTAAAGAACGTTGCTATACTTCCTAATTGATAATCTTTAGGAATAAAGCAGCAAGAGTGGTCACACCCCTGCGCTATTTTTGAATGCCAGTCTAAACCTCCTCCTCTGGAGGTGGAAAATCTCACTGGCAGTGCAGCCCACCAACTCAGAGCAAGACAATTTTGTTTTCTTTCCAGAAGCTATAGGACACGTAAGAACATATTTCCCAAGTAAGTTTTTTGATAGCGGTGTTTCTGATTTTCAATTTTGTTATTTAATCCTGACTGGACACAGTTAAGTGAACATACCTACAAAACTACAAAGCCCAGGATGAAAGCTCAAAGCAACTACCACTGGGGTCCAGTTAGAGGCTTATCCGCAACAGAAAACATGCACATAACTTGAGCGGTGGCCTCTGACCTTAACTGAAGAAAACCGTTAAAAAATTCTTGACAATGTTGTCAAAATATAAGAACTAAGCATTTAACATCACTGATAGAGAATTCCCGATAGGAAAAAAAGGTAAACAGTTTATTTAGTGTACTTAGGCTGATATCATCAGTGCCTAAATTAGATGTTAGCAACTTTACCTCATATTTATTTACCTTTTCCTCACAAACTCCCATTTATTGTTCATAACTATACTAAAAGGCAGAAAGTCAATGAATGACATTTTCCAACTCACATCTTCTATTTGCTTGAGAAAACTTAAGTGTTTAAAAATTATCCACTAGTTTTTCAATGAACTAACCACTGAGTAAATTGAGGTCTATTATATGAAATAATTTTTAACATTTTACTGGCATTAAGTTTTATAGATTCAAAACTCCTAGATTTGGGTCAGGCCCTATTTGTCTCTATATTGTGTCCCAGCCTAGCAGTTTGGCACACAATTTGTGGCCTGATGACTAACTGACCTGAGTCTAATAGATCTCCCTTCTAACTTGGTTTTCTTCTGAAGTAAACAGCCTCTTCTGAGTAGACACCCATAAGGGCAGACACCTTGTGGGGTTCCCTGTGCTCCACCACCTGGAAAAGTCCCTGGCACACAGTCAGCCCTCAATAAATATGTTGTTCCAGTGAACATAAAGTGATGGTTAATATGATTACCGTGAAATTTCAGAGGGAATGCTATTTTAAAATACTTTTACCAACATTTCCATTAGTATATTCTATTCCTCTGAATATTAGTTTCAAGAGTCAAACTTAAACTTTCCTTTTTGTTAGATCTCTATAACACTAAGCAAATACTGTTTGTGTATCTTCAAGTATGCAGCATTTCCCAAACTGATGTGACCACAAACTGTAGTTTTTTTACCAATCTGGAAAAACTGATTCTGAGAAATGTTGCATTAGGCTACATTATATAAAGACTGATAAACATTAAACTAGTTCCCAAGACATCTAATCTCCTTAAAAGATGGGTCATACTACTTTGTGCTTGTTAATATTCTATCTAAAAATTTAAAAGAAGAATCTGGTCTTAACTACTAGAGTATCTTGAGGATAAATGAAAGAAAAGATATTCAAGCTCTAAACAAAATACCTTTTATTATGAATTACACAAAATCAAAACTCAAACAATAATTGCTTATAAGATCCACTGACACTGTATCTTAAAATAACACTATATTTTTTAAATGTTAGTATATTATTTGTCTTTAGTAGTACCAAAAAAACCACATTAATACTTGATAGAATGCTGATGTCTGATGATCCCTGCATACCAAGCAGCATCCAGTTAAAATATCAGTACAGCTTTCTTTCATCAAAGAAAATATTTTATTTAAGTTTCCAAAACAAATTTGAAGAGTTATGTTGGGTTTGAATTGAAGAAAAAGGCCCAGTTAAAATATGGAAACAAAGCTTTCAATTGGAGGTTGAAATCAAGTGTATATATTCTAATCAAAGATCTGTCCCATGTGGTATTTTTCAAGTTTTTAAAAGTCTACCAGGCCAAACCCTTAGCCGCCTTCACGGCTTTTGCTTTGCTTTTCCCCTTCCTTTTCTCTCGCTTTGCCTTCAGCTTTTTTCTCTGCCTCTGGTTCATCCATACGGGGTACTGTCCATGCTGGTCTAGAAGACTCTTTTTGTTTCTCTTAGTATCAGTCTCCATTTTCATGTCATCTGAATTTTTTTTAAAAGAAGGAAAAACTATTAATACTCATGAACGAAAAAACCACCCTGTAAAAAAGCATATTAATGCAATGAGAACATCAAAAGTTAAAAGGGGTCAGAAACTACAAAAGAAAAAAAAAATCCCTTCTTTGTGTATAACACTTTGACCAACATGCTCGTAACAACACATTCAATGAAATCCCACACATGCTGCCATGTGTCCCTACAACCATGAAAGATACAAAAAGTATTTATGGGGAAATAATAGACATCATCTATTTAGTCACTAAGGAACTTTCTCAAGAACACTGTCATGACTGTCCTTCCTTGGAATAATAAAGGTTAAATAGGGTCCATTTAGGATGTATATACGAGTTACTGCATTAGGGATAAGTATATGGTTCTGAGCTAATGTGAGTTACAATTCTTACATTAGGTGGCTTCTTGAGCTAAGATAGCTGAGCCAATAAGAAAGATACTCCCACTTCTAACAGGACTTAAAAATAAATGAGCTAATTAAGAATGAATGGCCACTTCTAATGACATGAACTTGGAAGAGGTGGATTAGCAGAAAGTAGCGGCTTTATATGACAGAGATGGACGGAAAATAGAGAAGAACTGGATGTATCCTACCACATTTTTCTATCCAGGTAACACACAGAGATCCAGTTCTTCCAGAGATTCAGCTCTACTAACAGGAGATTTGGTAGAAAGCTCAGTGCAACCATGCTGTTGTACATCACCAACCTTATTTATTGTGAAGCGCATGCCCAGAAACTCCCTCCCCGGGAACTGACCAAGGTACACAAGGTCTTCCATGATCTCTACCATCTGACCTCATATTAATTCATTTATCTGGTTTATTTCTCTCTCCTCCTAAACAACGTAAAATCCTCCAGAATGAAAGCCATTTCTGATATTCATCATTGTTTCCACCGTACCTGAAATAGTAACTGGTATATATTAGCCATTCAATACAAGTTGTTGAATGATTATTCTGGGTGCTATTCTAGTTTCTAGGGATATAGTGGTCCAAATAACCCCCTTGCTCTCATGAGGTTTACAATATTCTGTTGAGAGGAGAATAACAAAGCATACTTCAGCCTGTGGAAACAGTTTTTTTAAGAGTGGTTCTGTTTCTCTCTACACCAGAATCAGATTAAGTAGGACATGGTAGACTCTGGTAAGCACATGAAAAGAATGTGGTGTTTTAAGCATGATAATAAAATTTGATTTATATTCTAAAAAAGGTCACACAGATTGATTGGCTGAATGAATCAGAAGGGAACAAGAGTTGAAGAGAGAAGCAAAAAGGCTATCATAATTCAGCCAAGAGATGATGATTATTTAGAGGGAAAGCGTAAAAGAGAAATGGATAGATTTCTGATGTTATTTGGAGATACTGAGGATGTGCTAATGGTTTAGATGTCAGAGGTAAAGGAAAGAGGGATCAAAGGTAACTAACAAGGTTCACGGCTTAAGAAATTAAGTGGGTAGTTGAAAGAGTAGAAGGGGAAACAAGAAATTGAGGGCAGAGATGAGGAACTATATTGAAAATAGGTAGATTAATAAATGGGAAGACCACCCCCAAAACCTCAGTTCCATCCCCATTCAGTTCTTGAAATACTCCAAAAAGGAGGGACATTCCCTCAGGCAGGAGATGAGAGAATTCTTCTCTGAAGATGAGAAAAGGCCTACAGATTCTGAGACAGATCTCCCACAACAAAATTTTCCAGGGCTAATCCAATCATTCTGTGAGTCTAGCGGTTAATAAGCCTTCCTTTACACTTTGCCTACTCCCCACAAGCTTCTACCCAACAAACATTTTTGTGCCTCACTTTTAAATATAAACAAGTATTGATCACCAGACATTGGAGAAAAGTCTCTCATAAGAAAGAGACAAAATAAAGGAATGGAAGGGAGGAGGAAAACCCAAGAAGATAAACAATGTATAGAGAAGATCAAAATTTGTAAAATAAACTATAATTACTACCCTCAGTGATATCAGAGAAGGAATAGATCCATTAAGAACCTCAGCCTACTAAAAAAAGAAAAAAATTTTGTAAATTAAAAATATACAAAATTGCACTGGCTGGTGTGGCTCAGTGGATTGAGCACTGGCCTGTGAACCAAAGAATCATGGGTCCCACTCCCCAGTCAGGGCACACGCCTGGGTAAAGGGCCAGGTCTCCAGTAGGGGGCATGCAAGAGGCAACCACACACTGATGTTTCCCTCTCTCTCTCTCCCTTCTCCTGCCTAGAAATAAATAAATAAAATCATATATATGCAAAACTAAATAACACAAGACCCAGATGACAAAGTTCAGAAAGTTACAAAGTATAACAAAGAGAGATAAATAAAATTAGAGGATAAATCCAAGAGACTCAAGAATGAATGGGCAGCTAGTATGCAAAATATTTAACTATGAGATTATATATATTAAATATTAAAAATGTTTTGATTAACCCACTGCAATAAAATCAGTTTGCAACTGGAAGAAAAAAACAACTCAACAGCAAAAAGACAATCCAATTAAAAAATGGGCAAAGAACTTGAATAGAACTTTCTCCAAATGTACAAATGACCAACAAGCAATGAAAAGATGCTCAACATCATTAGTCATAGGGGAATGCAAATCAAAACCATGATATACCACTTCTCATCCACTGGGATGAGACAATACTGCAATAATAATAAATAAATAAATAAATAAATAATGGAGCCCTGGCCAGTGTGGATCAGTTGGCTGGAACATCATCCCATAACCAAAAGACTGTGGGTTTGAATCCCAGTGAAGGCACATGCCTAGGATGCGGGTTTGTTCCCCAGTCCAGGCACATATGGGAGGCAACCAATTGATATTTCTCTCTTGCATCGATGTTCTCTCTCTCTTCCTCTCCTTCTAAAAGGAATAAAAAAAGTGTTCTCAATTGAGGAGAAAAAAATAAATAAAAATTTAAAAAATGGAAAATAACAAGTACTGGCAAGAATGAGAAAGAACCGGAACCCTCAAAGATAGTTGGCAGGAATGTAAAATGGTGTGACTGATAGAGAAAACAGTAAACTCAGAAGTATCACGTGACCCAGCAATTCCACTCATAATTATATATCCAAAAGAACTAAAACAGGTATACCAAAAAAAAAACTTGTACACAAATGTTCACAGCAGCAGTATTCAAAATAGCCAGAAGCTGGAAGCAACCTAAATGTCCATGAACGAATGAATGGAAAAAAAGAATGTGGTACATATGTAAAATGGGCTATTATTCAGCTTTAAAAAAGAAGTACTGATACATGGTGGTACATGGAAGAACCTCAAAAATGTTAAGTGAATAAAGTCAGACACAAAGGGTCACATATCGTATGGTTCCATTTATATGAAATATCCAGAACAGGTAAATCCAAAGGGACAGAAAACACTTAAGTGTTTGCTAGGGGGTGGGGGAGACAGAAAGAGGGATAGACTTCTTCATGGGTATAGTTTCCTTTTAGCATGATGAAAATGTCTTGGAAATAGAGGTGATGGTTGGATAACATCATCAATGTACTAAATGCTTTCCCCCATCTCTCTAGATGTGACATTCCAGAACACATTTAAGCTATTGTGAATGACCTAGCAGAGAAGAGATATTGCTAATCAGGATGCATGAGTACAGCCCAAGAATGGAGAGGATTCAGAACACAGGTGGAGACACTGGTCTTTGAGAGAGTATTAATGAAAGAGGGAAAACAGACTACACATTCAAATTCTTCTAGACTTGGAAAGTGGGAAGATGAGGGGTTTTCTGTTGATTGTTCCTACTTTTTGAAGTTGAAGTAAAAAGCTTTTTGTAATTTTCATTCATGAGGGTGGAAGAGGGGTGGAATGTGAAGAAAAAATAAGAAATCATCTTTGTGAAGAATGGGAAATGAAATTTCTAGGATTGGAAGATTAAGGAATGCTGTTCTTTTCCTTGATCACTGGAATATACTTGTGTTTTAAGACCCTAGGTATTGTGAGTGCTTAATTTATTTTGCTGTCAAAGTAGTGTATTAACCATGTGAAAACCAATGAATCTTTCATTGTACTGAAATTATTATATGCAGCCTCCAACTTTAGACTATGATTAAAACACAAAGGTCCCTAAAATCTGTTGTCAAAAATCAAATACAGGGAAATGCTGTGATTTTCAGGATAATAATATAATGGCATAGGACTCTTAGAATGGAAACTAGTTCTTGCAAAGGGTGTAATGAAGGAAGACCTTCTTTTATCCTGCCTAGTCTTTGACCGAGTTGTGTACCTTCCAAAGATAGTGTCCAGGTCTGTCTACTCCTAATGCACTATTTCTGAGACATTTAGGCTATTGTGTAAGCATCAAAGGCCCACTCTGCATATGAAAACATACCTGTTCACATGAACCAACTACAAAGTAGTTTAACATAAAACCTCTAGTAGCACTATAAGCCTTCAAAGAATCACGTGAGCATAGGAGGAAGTTTGTAAGGAATCATGTGTGGGAATGAATCAAAGACAGGAAAAAGGAAGAAAGAAAAAAGTCACAGGAAACAATTTTTTTTTTAAACAAAGCCCGTAAACTCACCTTTTTCATCTTTCATCACACACTGTGTTTTCGCTTCAGAATGTTTGGGCACCACCACAGTTGCTATCTCTTGAACATCTTTCATTAAAATGTCAGTATCTATTTTAAGAATACTCTTTAGTCTGCTAAGTTCCTTTGGGGCATTCTTTTTTCTCTTTTCAGCACGCATCTTCCTTTTCCACTTACTTCGTAAGCTTTTAGCCATGTTTTATCTGGAAAGTTAACAAAGATACATATGCAAAAGCAAATGTTTACTATCAAAAAGGGGCAAATGCTTGGAAAACCAGATCAAAAGGTGTCTCTACAAAACCCGAACAAATAGAAGGTAATACTCTTTACTCTGTTTATGATTTATGATGGCTTAATGTGTAACTTATGTGAAGATCAATATGGCTATATACAGCCATTAAATAATTAAAAACACCAAATCAAACTCCCATGGGTCACTGGCTGTAAATCAAGCCAATTCTGAAAGTTTCTGGAGTTTCCATACAAGGTGCAAAAAAATTTCCCCCCCAAATCCTGATTTCACTCTACAGGACACCCACCTAAGTCATCATTATCCACCACCTCAAATCAATGTAGCTATTTTAAACTTGACTGTTTCCACTCTTGCTTTCCCTCCATCCCTTATTCCCATTCCTAAATCCACCACAAGGTGGTTAGTGTGAGGTTTTAAAAACTTAAGAGCACACAATTGCCTTTCTTTAATGACTTCCCTCCTCCTATCAATATATTCAAGATCTACAAAGTTATTTGTGACTTGACCCCCTGCCTCCTTCAACTATCTCACCTCATGCTCCATCTCACCCTCAGGTACCAATTACATATGAAAAAAGTCCAATTTTTTCATATGTAATTGGTACCTGGTGACAATGCAAGGACAGTGGCAATATGATTAGGTGAGAGGTGGGAATGAAGGGATTATAGGAATTATAATGAGTTTAGAAGGAAACTTTGGAGTGACTTATAACATCATCTTAATTGTGTTGATGAATTTGTTTGTGAAGTTTACTGTGTTAATTATACACCAATAATGCATATACACCAATAACGATATATAAAAATCATTAAGACATGACTGGAAAGGAGTGGGTTGGAGTCCAAACTATGTCCACCTTTATATTTAAAGGTACCTTTTACATTTGTTTTCCTGTGCCTGAGGACTGATCCTTTTTAAAGCCTTGCTCCTTTACTTCAGTAGCTCAGAAAGGGCTTCTCTGGCCCTGTAAGCTCCCCTCCTTTTATTCTCTATGCTATCATCCTTTTCCTTTCTTTTCAGAATGTGCTACAGTCTGAAGTTCCTTATTTTGTCATCCCCGGTGGACTGTGACCTCCACTTTCCCCTTTAGATCTCCCAATACGTAACTCTTTTGATATATACAACAAAGGTTAAATAAAGACCTGTTGGATTAATGACTATTGAAGTAACATTTTTTTTTTCTTGGACGCCAGCAATAACAAACTCAGTGGGTCCTCTTGTGTACAACAACTCAGGCCCTGTAAGGAGTGGGGTTAGAAGGGTTTCGTTAAGCAACCTTGAGGGCCGAGATTAACCTAAGCGAGAAGGAACGATGAAGGAGAACGCCAGTTCGCACAGAGCACGCAGAAGCCCGAGGACAGCCACACGGCCATGACACACCCTCGCCCTCCAGGAAGGCTTGTCTCTCTGTGCCAGGCTCAACCTTGTCCAGTGATGGACCAGGCTACAGGCAAGTTTCTCTACGAGAGGCCGGAGTCCACGCCCAAGACCCAAGCCCCACTGGACACCACCTCACCTGAAACGGCTCACCGTTCACACTCCACACTTTCAAGACGACCGGAAGTCTCCTCTCTTCCGTCTTCCGGGCTGCCAGGTCCCGTCCCTCTCGCACCCCGCCCCCGGCGCGTTGCACGCCGGGAGCCAAAAGTCCTGGGAGGACTACAGGCGGGGTCTTCTGCAGCTGGGCGCTGACGCGCTTCCTGCCTTCGGTGCGAGGGCAGACTTTGGAGTCTGACTCCTCCAGCACACGTTGCGAAGTTGAATTTGAAGAATGCGGAAGGGAAACCCAGTGGAGATAGGGGGCCAGCGGGGCCCACTTCCCGAGCGTGGCCGGGGTGGCCCTGAGATTTTAAGGAGTGACTTTGGCCAGCTGACACAGCCTGTCAGGTAGGGAGCTCAGAGCTGACCTTTTAGCTCTCACGTTCACACAGTACTAATAATGGGTTTCCTTAAACCGGGAGGCCAGATTGAGATCGTTTTTATTTGCATCCCTTAATTTTTCTCATCCTAGGTGATGGTCTAACGGATATATGCATCTGTCAAAACTTATTAAATTCTACACTTTAAGTATGTGCAATTTATTGTTATGTCAGTTATACCTCAAAGTTCTTACACAAAACAAAAAAGCCTTTCCTATCCCAAAGACGAGTTCAAAGAGTAAAGTTTCCAAACTAACTCGGTTTAACCAGTGTTTACCTGGCTAATTAGTAATGTATACCAGACAGTGCTAAACTTAAGACAGCTGTCTTAGGTGAAGGTCACATTGGTCACAAGCAACACCAGTACTTTTTATTATTTTACATATGCTCCGAATAGCATAACCTTTGGAGCCAGGCAGGTCTGTGATGTATTTTTGACTCCAACACTTTCTTGTGATATTGGTGATTAATGTCTCAGAGCCTGGATATCCTTGTCCACAGAATGACGCTAATACAGCCTAACGGATCCCTAGGTAGGTGATAAGAGCTCAATACATGGTAGCTCATCATTTTTACATTATAATTCAAACAAAGCACAGTACTGTTTGTCAACGGTGTTTTTAGAGACTTACATTTAAAAAAAAAAGGAAATGAATAATTTTTAATGATGGCCTAGTAAGTTCCTGTCTGGTTGCTAATAGAGTTCTTATTGAGACAATTCGTGGGTACCTTTTTTCTGTAAATCTGTGTCCTTTTGTAAATCTTGCATCATATGGAAATGAGTAAACTCAGAATGTACTGAATTTTTCTTAACAGCCAAAAAATGCTAACATATGGCATATAAAAAAGCATGCCAGAGACCTAGTTTCTTTAAATAGATTAAATTCTTATAGAGCAAGTGACTTTCTATTTTACAAGTTAACCATATATTATAACTTAGCCACTTCTTCCAAAAATGAATGTTCACACTGCATTTAAAATTAGAGACAGCTCACTTTTAGCTAATCCAAATTGACTGCACCTTACTTAATATTCCAGGCCGAGGCTTTTGAATAGACACTTGGCACCAGAAAAGAGGAAAAAAACAAAACAAAACACAATGTCGTGATGTTAAATATATGCCATAATTCAGCATTACTAATAATGCTTTTAAAAAAAACTGAATCATAGACTGCATTATTGAAAAAAAACCTTTTTAACCTAAGTTCCTCACCGGTTTGTATAAAAGCAGTTCTAACAGAATAAATGGCCTCGGTATATTTAAAAATCCTTAATTCATTCCCTTCTTCATACATCTGAGTATGTATTCTGTGATAGGTACTGTGCTGGGAATACAAAGATGAAGGAAACCAAACTACAGTCTTCAGGAAACTTTAATCCCTAATGAAGGGACAGGGCTTAAGGACCAAACTGGACATTGTTTCTTTCTCCCTCACAGAGCTGGATGGAGCCTGTGCTACTGGAAACACAATTGGGTACCTGACAAGAAGTGGGCTGGTTCTCCATTTAAACAGAGTACTAACACTACGGCCACCAGCCAGTGGAAACCCCTGCAGTCAGGCCTCTTCCATGGAAGCCCTGATCTACATAATCACTGAATAAAAACTAGACTTCTGGGGTTCAGATGGTGACTCCATGTTACCCAGGCCCTCGATGATGGGAACTTCAAGACAAAGCTCTACCAGGGGTGTCCAACTTTTTGGCATCTCTGGCCCACACTGGAAAGAGTTGTCTTGGGCCACACATTAAATACACTGCAACACGTAAACAAAAAAAAAAAAAAAGAAAACAACTCATGTTTTAAGTAAATTTATGGTTTTGTGTTGGGTTGCATTCATACCCATCCTGAGTCGTGCATGGGACACAGGGGCCACAGGTTGGACACCCCTGCGTGAAAGGAACAAGCAAAAAGAGCCTAGGTTCCCAGCTGCTCCAAAAAGGCCCACAGCTGGCTTTTGACACCACTAATGCCCAGTGCATCAAGTGGACCAAAGCCAGGTGTGAAAAAAGAAGGCAGGTAGACAGGACCTGCTGCACTTCTTTCCCCCAATTACACTCGATGAAAACAGTTCTCAGATCCCACTCTTTCTTAGTTTTCTTCTTTTCTGACTGCATTTTGTACCTTGCATGTGGAGTAGCCTGTCATTCTAAATCCTGCTAATTCCACTTTTTTAAGTATTTCAGGAGTCTTCTTATTTTCACCTTTACTTGATGTAAAAAATTGAAGTTGCACATACTCTTTTCAGTAATTCTGCTTCCGGGTATATTGCCTTCCTGGGCAAACTCTCTTATCTGTGCATAATGGTAAACATTACAGGGACATACAGAGCAGGACTGATTGTAATGGTAAAAAAGGAGGAACTATAAAAATTCAACCACAGAAGAATATATGAATAACTATGGTTCATTTATAAAATATAATACTCTACATCAGTGGTTTTTCTTCTTTTTTAAATTTATTGGGATGACACTAGTTAACAAAGTTATACAGATTTCAGGTACACAATTGTGCAATACATCATCTGTACACTGTGTTGTGTGTTCACCACTCCAAGTCTACACCAGTGGTTTTCAAACTTCTTGGTCTTGTGACCGCTTTACACTCTTAGGAATTACAGTATTTGTCATACAAAACTTAAAATAATTTTTTGAAAATTTGTCATTTTAGAAAGGTTAATTAATTACATGTCTACATTTTTAATTAAAAAACTATTTCCCAAACCAAAAAGAAAATTTACTGAAAACAGTGGCATTGTTTTACATTTTTGAAATGTCAAATCAGCTTTTGCTATTTAGTATCTTTACTTGCAATTTAGTACATTCTGCCTTTGAACTGAAAAAATTATTAATAAAGCAGTTGACATTATGCTTATTTTATATGCTATATTTAACCCATGTATCAGCCAAATAAGGTAGGTATTATCAACCCATTATAAAGATGATGCAAAAGACCTATGGAAGGAAGGATAAATAGCTTGCCAAAGGCCACATTACTTTCAGTTGCATAGCAATGATTCTAATCTAGATGCTCTTACTCACTATGCTGTGTTAAACTTAAGTACAGTATGAAAGCAATTGTATATTCAGTGATCAAATTTACATCTAAAACTTACGAGAAGCTAAATCCGTACTAAATTTTTTCTAAATTTTTTTTAATCCTCACCTGAGGATATGTTTATTGATTTTAGAGATAGAGGAAGGGGGAGAGGGGAAGAAAGAGGAAGAGAGAGAAAAAGGAAAGAAAAGAAGGACAGAAGGAAGGAGGGAAAGGAGGGATAGAGGGAGGGAGAGAAACATCAATCAGTTGCCTCTCTATGTGACCCAACTGGGGATTGAACCCTCAACCTAGGTATGTGTCCTAACCAAATCCGCAACCTTTTGGTGCATGGGATGATGCTCCAACCAATGCTGAGCCATCCAGCCAGAGCTCCATACTACTAATTTATTTCAACTTGACAGCTGGGAAAAAATGATGTTTAGTGAGTGTTATAGGCTGAGTGGTGCTCCCCACCCCTCAATTCATATGATGAAGCCTATCTTAATATATTAGGGCTGCCATAACAAAATACTAGAGACTGGGTAATTTATGAACAGACATTTATTTCTCACAGTTCTGGAGGTGTGAAAGATCAAGATCAAGGTGCCCGCAGATTTGATCTCTGGCATAGGCCCTCTTCCTGGTTCACAGACTATATGTCTTTTTGCTGTAACCTCACATGGGAAAAGAGGTGAGAGATCTCTGCAGGGTCTTCCTTGTACTAATTCCATTCATGAAAGCTCTACCTTCATGACCTAATCACATCCCAAAAGCTGTTCCTGAAACCATCACACTGGACATTAGCTTTCAACATATGAATTTGGTGGGACACAAATATTCAGATCAGACCACTGCAAAGTACTAACCCCTAGTACCTCAGAATGTGATTGTATTTGGAGATAGGACCCTAAATAGGAAATTAAGGCAAAATTAGGTCACTAGGGAGCCCTAATCCAATGACTGGTATCCTTGTAAGAAGAAATCTGGATACAGACAAGTACAATGAGAAACGATGTGAAGACACAGAGAGAATGACCATCTATCTACAAGCCAAAAGAGATGCCTCAGAGAAACCAGCCCTGCCAACACCATAATCTTGGACTTCTAGCCTTCAGAACTGTGAGAAGATAAATTTCTGATTAAGCCACCCTGTTTGTAGAACTTCATTATGGCAGCCCGAACAAACTAATACAGTGAGGGAGTTTTCCAAAGTTTTACTGGCCCTTAGTTAAGTGCTATAATTTTTTTCCTTCCTCATCAACATTATAATGAAATGACGTTGAACAAAATGACATTATTCAAGTACATGCTGTATTATAGCAGTAGCTCCAAAGTACATAGCATACAAATAAAGTAATAAAAGTATTTAATAGTTGATTATGTCTCAAACTTTATTACTGAATCAGTAATAAAGTATTATTAATGAATCAGTTTCTATATCTTGCTTTGAGTTGCTTTTTATTAATGAATTAGTTTCTGCATACGGCTTTCAATCACTTTTTATTAACTGCTTCCAAAAACCGCAGCAGGTGCAGGAATAGATTGATGACATCCAAGTAGAGGTTGATGGAGGCTAATACATACTCTTCAGGTGACAGCCTATGCATCAGTGAGTGAGTGTCATAGATGATGAATCCACAGAAAAGGAGGGCTCCTACAGCAGCCATGACCAATTCCACTGTCTCACTATAAAAAAAAAACTAGGCAAGAGATTAAAATATTACATTTGTATTTAAGAACCCTATTAAATACACTTAAATTACTTGCTCTTAAGTTGCATATGCTACATATATATTTAATAATGCTGTACAACTTTGAATACAAATGTTAAAAGCAGAGAAAGCCAAAGCAGGTCCACTCTGGCTTCTGTTGGATGAAAGAATGAATGGATGAATCAATGGATAGTCCCCTATTAAATTACCTACTTGATTTTGAACAGTAGTATCCCAAATATTAAATTTTTTTTTCATAATTACATGTGCCACTCGGAGGTTAGCAATTACATGATGGCCTCTTTCTGTGTAATTTAACCAATTTGTTCATCTTTTATTTCAATCAATAATGCTAAAAGAAGACCTTGATTTTTCAAAAGATAATTTGATAATCATCCTATACAAACATTTCAGATAATTATAAGTGTCCTATCATAAGAATATATCTTACATGGCTTTTTGAGATTATTTATATTGACATGGTGAGAATTATATTTCACGTTACTATTCTAAAACAACTCACCTTCAAGATTCCTGACAAACACAAAATCCACAAAACAGCAAACAATCTATAAAAACAAAATAGTAGTAATTTAGAATATTGTTCCTTACAAAAAAACTTTGTAAACACATTCAATATTTTCTGAAGAAACAAATCCATCCTGATATTTGTCAAAGAATAATTTGTATGTAAGAACTCATAAACATACAATGAATACTGTAGAGTGCCCAGAAATCAAAAGAACAGCTATCTATTCAACATATGTTTAAATGGTGTACAGAAGTAGTTAAGAGTGTCAATTTTTTAAGGTTTCATATGAAATGCAAAGGAATATTGATTTAAGTAGAAGTGCATTATAAGTATTTTAATTCAGAAATCTATAAAGCTTCTAGAAAATACATTCATGAACAAATAAAAATTGATTTTTAAATCAAATAACAAATTATTCTGTGAATATGCATATCCATTAAACTTCCCAAATGTATTATTTTATTCTGATGTATTATAGAACTTAATTATGTACATAAATTTGCCACTGCTATAATTTTATAATATACCATACATACATAAATATACACACTAAAAATAGGAACAAATTCAGAAGTCACACAAAAATAGAATTAGTTGATAATGACATTAAAAAATATACTCTATATGTTCAAGGAGGTAGAGGAAAGCATCATGAGAGAAATGAAAGAAATACAGTTAAAAAATACAAATTGAACTGAATTTCCATACACTAAAAAATACAGTATGTCAAATGAAAAATACTCTGACTGGGATTCATAGCAGATTAGACACTGAAAAAGAAAAGAATACTGAAAGTGATAACAGTTTTAGAAACTAAACAAAATAAAAGAAAGAAAAGACTAGAAAAAAATGAACAAATCATCAGTGAACTGTGGAACAACATCAAGAAATCGAATATATATGTAATTGGAGTCTCAATGGAAAGGAGAAAGAAAAGGGACATAAAAATATTTGAAGAAATAATGGCTGGAAATGTTACAAAGTTCATGAAAAATCTGAACTGTCACATCCTCGGAGGAAAAAAAAATACCAGGAATATCAATCAAATTACTGAAAATATTAATCAAATAACTGAGAAACTCTTAAAGGTAGCTAGGAGATGTTTAAAAAATGTACAAAGGAATAAAAATAAAGACAGTAGATTTTCTTGTCCAACTATATGAGCCATAATGCAGGGGAGTGACGTCTTTACAAAAAAAAAATTTAAATAACTTTCAAAAACAAAGGTAAAATAAAGATTTTTTTTCGAACATACAAAAGTTGAGACCAGACCAGCACTATGAGAAATGTTAAAAGGAAATCCCTCAGGCAGAAGGAAAATATGTGATGGAAACTAGGTCTACACAAAGAATGGAGAACAGAAATGGTAAATATGTGGTTGAACATAAAAGACTTCATCCATTTTTCAAATCTTTTTAAAAGGTAGTTTAATGTTTAAAGCAAAATTAATAGCAATGTATTATGAGGTTTATAATATGTAGAACAAAAGGTTGTACGAAGGGAGGGGCAAATATAAGTATATTATACATGAAATGGTATTATTATTTAAAGGTAGACTATGATAATTTAAACAGGTACACTGTAAAACCTAGAGGAGCTTCTATTTAAAAGAGCTATAGCTATTAACCATAAAAGAGATAAATAGAATCAAATAATCTCAAAGAAAGGAAAGAGGGAAAAAGGATCAAAGAACAGATAGGACAAACAAAAAGATATACCATGCTAACACAATCAAAAGAAAGCCAGGGTAGCTACATTAACAAAGTAGATTTTAGGGCAAGGATATTACCAGATAGAGCCCCTTCATAATGATAAAGGGTCATTGAAAAGTCAAACAGACAGTAACCAGAGGGGAAGGGGATGGGGGATAATGGGGGAAAAGAATGGAAAAGGTCAAGTCAAGGAACTTGTATAAAGGACCCATGGACAGGGACAATGAGGGATCTGGGTGGGGCATGGAGGGTGGAGGATTGAATATATGAGGGGGGTGGGCAGTGCAAGGGAGAGCAATGGGGGAAGGGGACAACTATAATTGAACAACAATAAAAAATTTTTTTAAAAAAAGAACTAGGGACGTGGTTAAAATTAAACCTGGCTGATTGTTTCTTTGTATAGACACTGCAAAGGTTATGCCCATGGGAGCCCATTGTTAGGTTAGTTAATAAGCATTAACATCTGTGAAATGCTAAGACATACATACAAAAAAAGAGAAAGAAAGAAAGAAAGAAAGGACATAGCAATCCTAAATGTTTATGCATCTAAAAAGAGAGCTTCAAATAACATGAAGTAAAGTTGTAGAACTGGTGGAAAAATAACCAAACGATACTTGCAGTTGGAGAATTCAGTACCACTTTTATATTGATAGAATAAGCAGGCAGAAAATAAGTAAGCATACAAAAGATTTGAATACTATCAACCAATTTGACCTATTTGACATTTTTCAGTCATTCAACAGCAAAATATATATCTAGTGCACAAAGAATATTAACCAAGATACTATTAAATGAGTCCATTAAATACAAAAGGACTGAAATCATATAAAGTATGTTCCTTAACAACAGAATTAAATAAATTAAATGTATATATTATAATTCAGTGAGGTGAACTAAGGGTATGGTAAGATTCCAGCCTTCAGCTCTTAGTGGAATGGCCACAAAACTCAGGGTACACCTGGCATACCTAAGTTAGCATGAAATATCTTACCATCTCAGAGTAGAGATCCTTCAGGATTGAAAGGGAATACTTAAACCCTAGGGAAACTCCAAAGCTTCTGCACCAAGAAGTATGGGAAGGTGGGATTAAGAACTGTAGAGCATCTGAGATTTTACCTTACAAGCTAATGAGTTAGCCTGGTACAATTTCATGGATGCTAGTTGAACACATGAGACTCTAGGCCTGAGATGAAGGACAGTTTGTTATGACAATAACAGTGGCTGAAGAACAGGCATAGTAGATAGGTGTTGTAGAAGTAAAGAAATGAGAGAGCTAGAAGGATAGGAGGTTGAAGAAAGAAAGTAAGGCATTCGCATTTAATATTTCACCAGTGGAACAATCCCTAGTGATGGCAAGGTCCACAAAGTGGCCATGGCAGGGAAATGAAAGTTGCTGCAGTAGTAAAGGTCCAGAGATATTGAGAGGCAAAGGTGATAGATGGGGCTAACATGTAGTTTGATGCTAATATCTTTAAGAATGAGGGAGGCTTGACCAAAAAGAGTATCAATGACAGTAATGAGGAAGGGTAGGAAGTGTATCACCAGAAAGCATAAGCCTTAAAGTAATGAATTTCTATTATGCTGAAGGGATAATGAAAAGTGGCACCAGGGAACAGAAGCAGTTTTCAACACTAGCCCCCACCCCCACCCCAAGCTACATAGGGTATGGGAGAATGAACAGCTAGAGAATTCTTGGAGGAATCAAGTTTCAAGGAAAAGAAAGAATATATTATGAAGAGACAAATATAAGGGAGATTATTTCTTGGGTTAGCCAAAAATTTCATTTGGTTTTTTTTCCGTAAGATGGCTCTAGTAATGCTTAGTTGTCTTTAACTTCACTAGAACAATTTTGTTAGATTGTACTGTGACAGCTGTCATATCAGCATGCATTTAAAAAAAAATCAAAATTGTTAATTTTTGTGTAGCCATTTTAATATTGAAGATGGAAGAAAGTATGCAACAGTTTTGGCATATTATGCTTTATTATTTCAAGAAACGTAAAAATGCAAATGAAACTCAAAAAAAGATTTGTGCAGCATATGGAGAAGGTGCTGTCAAAAGTGGTTTCCGAAGTTTCGTGCTGGAGATTTCTCACTGGATGAAGCTCCATGGTAGTTGGGTAGACCAGTTAAAGTTGATAGTGATCAAATCGGGACATTAATTGAGAACAATCAATGTTATACATCGCAGGAGATAGCTGACATACTCAAAATATCCAAATCAATAAAATTACTGGTGAAAATGAAAAATGCATCTTTTAATTTATGGGGAAAAAATACGGATTTTTTTGCCAACCCAATACCAGGAGTTCTAGAGACTACAGTAGAATGGATGGGAAGGAGGGCAGCAGTTAGCGACTGGGATAGAAAGAAGAAGCAAAGAGCAAACCTTTCATCATATGGAGCCACAAATATGTATGAAGCATCCCCCGCCAAGAGTTAAATAATGCTACCTCCCCCTAAATCAAACTCCATTTTAATAAAACTGTATCTGCATCTTGCACAATTACCAGTGTTGACTAACAATCTGTATTTTATCCCAGCAGAGATTTCTGGTAATCTGGATAACCAGGGGAAAAAGGGGGGAAGGAAAGAAAAGTTTTGCAAGAGTAAGCTTTTGTAAATTTTTAGTGTTGTAACAGGAAAAAGAACAGAAAATGGTTGCCTGATTATGTGCCAACAGGAAGCCAGGGTGAGCTTACAGAGTCTACTCACTCTTAACAAGTGAGGGCAACAAAGTACCGTTATCCTAATATAAAAAGGATGTTCCATGTATCTATTAGTTTGAAGAAGGATACAGGTTAATCAAATGGCTCAAAAGGTTTTAAGGTTCATTCAGACATCTCCAAAATCTTGCTTTTACCACAAAGATGTGGATGGTTTTGGTAACATTTATGTTAAGACAAATACCTAAATAATATAGGTAAATTCCATGCCATTCATATAGCACACAAGCTTACATTCTCTAGAAACCTGATATTTTTTGTTGTTGTTGGCATTTACTTCCCTTTCAAGATAGAGGGGAAGAAAATGACTCAAAGCCACTTTTCATGTCCTTGGATGTTCTGGGAGAGCAGGGCCTGGTCTTAGAACTCAAAGATGGCCTTTCATTACACTGCACTTTAAAAGGCAGTATACAAAGCTAACAGTATAGCACGTCTCTCAAAACTATAATATTAAAGGTATCTTTCATAGCCATGAATATGTAACTTACCCTGCTCCATATTTGCTGAAATCTTTCTTAGATTGTAAGGTATATATAGTCAAACCAAGAAATACTGCAGTAGTCAGTACAAAAGCTTGGAGAATAATATGTACATCATAGAAAGTAACTGTAAAATTAAAAAATAATGATTAACATGCATATAAATAATATAAACAGCTTTTTCTGGGACTTAATTGAAATGCTTTTCACTATACTACTTGGCAATAAAAACAATTATGAAAAGATTCCTTATTCAGCCTTGAATATTGATTCATACAGTAAAACCACACCCATAATGCCATAAATAGGCTCTAAAATATTCATTAATACAAAATAAGGAAGTGACATTATTATGAAATTAAAGAAATGACTGGAGATTACACAGCTAGCCAGTTAGGAGTTTTAGGGATATGGTGGGATGATTCTCCCTCAATCCCTGTTCCAGCTGCAGTTTATCTGTGATCATTGTCCATTATAGCTTAGGTATCAGTAGGGATGATTCTGGGACCTGTGGCTGGCTGGGAATTCTTGGATAGCATATAGCAGGTCTAGTGATCACCTGGTTAACTCACCAAGTTCATCAGCCTAAATAAAAGAAATTGGGCAAGAAAAATATCGGGGCTATTTGGCATTGTCTGCCTTTCACCAACCCTGCAGAGAACAGAAACTAACCACTGTTTCCTTTATATCCAAATCTGCAGTATCTCAGAGTACATTATATACCAAATTTCCTTCCATAATTTCAGAATGATCTTCTGGGTTGACCAAAGCTATTGCAATGCAACTGCTTAACATTTAAGAGAATGATTACCCTCTTTAAAGGAAGTTACCTACTTTGAACCCAAAACCATTTAAGTTATTTTTAATTTGTCATGGATTAATTATCCAAGTTCTTTCTATTCTAAATGCTACATTATTGGAATTCCTCTATTTATACCATTACAGGATTAGGAAGGTGAATGCAGAAAGATAAAACATGAAATCACTTTTGCTTCTTATCAGTAATCTCAGTGTATGATTATGTGGAAAAGATATTATAATTAATGAGAGAAATGATGTTCTCAGATTATCCCACCTATGTATTTCTACCCCAATTCTAATAACCATGAAATAAATTTCTTTTCTACTTCCCTTACAAATGGTGGGAATCGGGGAGGGCAGAGATAGACTTGAGAAGAATATTAATAATGTATAACATAATAGATAATAATGCTAACAAGAAGTAAATATTAATAATACTTTCTATGGTGTGGAATTTCAATCCTATTTATTTTAGTAGTTACTATTTTCTTATATTCTGATTCTTCTTCTAAAAAAAGAGGTAGAATACAAATATTCAATAAACTGGCATAGAAAGATTTAAGAAGTACTGATAAATAGGTAAGTATATTACCCATAAGGATTAACAATTTACTGACAGTAATAGTTAATGCTGATGCTTTTCATACTCCAAATTAATAGTTTTGAGACAATCAGAATTTTTTTAATTTTTAACAAATCATCAAATATTTTACTTGATGTATTACATAGGGTACATCGAGTAAGTATAATAGACATTTCCTTTCAAACACATATTTAACACCAAATACAAAACAGATTACTAGCCTTTTGTGATTTGATAAAATATGAGGATATAATATAAAGCATATTCTGATACAGGCAATCTAAGAGGCTGACCTCATGATGAAAGTACATGACTCAAAACATATTATCAGCTCTAAGATCCCTTTAAATTAGGGAAAGATTAGCTATGCTTGTCTTATTTTTATAAATGGATAAACACAAATGAATATTGTTTTCCATTCCTATTGTTTTTCTAACTCTTTTCTACTTCCTCTAAGCTCAGTTGAACTATGGAAAGTATAAACATTTAATTTGTGCTTATATTTTAGAAATTCTTTATCCTATGCCATATTTTTTAAATATGACACTCCATGATGGTAAGATTTAGCCCCATATAGCTTTTTACCCAGAATGATTATCGACATTAAAAAGTAAGTGTAGCCCTGGCTGGTGTGGCTCAGTGGACTGACTGCCGGCCTGCAAACCAAAGGGTTGCCAGTACAATTCCAAGTCAGGGCACATGCCTGGGTTGCAGGCCAGGTCCCCAGTAGGGGGCGAGTGAGACAGCCACACATTGATGTATTTCTCCTCTTTCTCCCTACCTTCCCCTCTCTCTAAAAATAAATAAAATCTTAATAAATAAATAAATAAATAAAATTCTCAGATTAAAAAAAAAAAGTAACACACAGAAGCACAATTAGACTTACCAACAAAGGCCACAGTCAGAGCTTCCAATAATGTCTAAGAAAAAGAAATTGAAATTACATACATTAATGCAAAACTTATAATATGTGATATACATGGTTCCAATTTCTAGTTCAATGTGATTCCATATGCATGATCTCATTTTAGCTTCAGAACAACCTTGTGAAGTATATGGGACAGATAATAAGCTCACAATAATGAAAATGAAACCTCAATATATTAAGTGAAACTATTTAGATTCTAATTGTATCCCATCACTCCTTAAACTCTAACTAGATTCTTCATATCTGTAAGAGGAAAATTACAGAAACAAAATTCTATTTTCTCACTCTGTGTAATATAAAAATGAAATTGCAAATCATGTGCACACTTATAAAAAATATCTCACTCAAACACAGGAATATTAAATATACTGAGTCGCTAATTCTAAATTTAATATTAAATATATAGGTAGCACTCTGGTGTGGAAAATTCTTAAAACTGTCTCAAAATATTCTCTCTTCCTTAGTAACAGAATTTTTACCTGGACACACAGCTACTAAGATTAAACATTACATTTTTCAGTATTGTTTACAGCTAAATCTGGCCATAGGACTATATTCTAGCCAACAGAATGTGCACAGAGATGTGTACAACTTCTGAAAACAAAGTAGTCCCCTTTCTCTTCTCATTTAAAAAAAAATAACTGGATGGAATATGGATATGATTATATGAACATCTTATAACACACCACACTAGGAATACCTGAACCATAGCAGGTACCTGCGCCCCTGACAACTCCATTAAATAGTCATTCATATTTTTTACATGAAAAAGAAATAAACCATCTTGTTTAAATCATTGTGATTTTTGTCTTTGTTTAAGCCTGGCAGAAGTAGCTGAACTCAGATCCTAAATAAAAGATTTGGGGATATTGAGCTTTTAACCTCTAGCTTCTTTTTCCCCTTAATTACATATCTTTATTTTGTTTTATATGCTTACTCTAGTTAGAATTTTTTTTAAATCAACTATCTGATTGATCTTACATAAAAGCAAAGCCAGAAGTAACGGCAGTGGCTGAATAATCATACATATAAGCATTCCCTATAAACCTTCACTACCTGAAATCAAGAAATCATTAGAACCAGAGCAAAAATGGTATTAGAAATTGTTCATAGAAGTGGAGGCAACGAAGCCATTGACACATTTTGTTATAATGTTTGTTGATAGTGTCAGGGAAGTACTAGCAAAAGATGATAGAAATATATTTTCTGGGCAACATTCTAGATATTTGCGACATGATTTAAGGTAAGAAATCATACCATGCTCAAGTATCAGAAGGAAAAAGAACAGTATAAACAGGAGGAAAGGTAAAACTAGGAAAATATACCATCACAAAATAATGCCCCTTTTTAAATATGCATACATACACATTCATACATACATACATACATACATACATGCCTCCTAAGGCAAAGTGAGATCCATATCCTTCCTATTTTGGTGGAGCAGGACAAAATAACCTAGTATCAGAGGTCTTTGAGTAATCAGAAATGCATTTTACGTACTTCCTTATTTGTTAAACTATTTTTAGCTATGGGCATGATCAATAGTTGCAGCAGCAAGTGACCGTATCTTGCCCATAAGCATTTGGCTGATGCTTTTCTAATAGGTCCTCTCCCTGTTGGGCGAAAGCTGGTCCATACCATAGAAATCAACTAGAGTCTTTCTGAAAACAGAGTGGCTATATAGAGAGAGTTGAAAAGAAACTCTACGTGATGCTGTTTCTTTCTGTACTTCTTCCTTCTGTCTTAGGACAGCTGACTGGGATAGGAGCTGTCAACTTATTGGCTAACAATCTACAATATGACCTGTGCCATTAATTAGCTGTGCCAATCAGATTCTTTCTCACTTAGAAATCTAAACTCTGAGTATAAACCAATGGTAGCAGGAGCTAAAGCTAACATGTTAATGAATCATATGAGAGCCACAATAGGCCATATTAAAACTAAAGATAGCAGAGGGAGAGCCACAATAGGCCATATTAAAACTAAAGATAGCAGAAGGACATCTGCATGAAAAAGAAATGTAATGGAAGGGAGAGGAGACCACAAACTCTTGCTGTTGAATATCCTACAATAGCATCATTTCTGGAACCTTCCTTCTAGTTCATTTTCTCATTGAGTTCTGATGGGGTGGGTTGATGGGTTCCCAAGACCTTATATCCTTAAAATCAACTCCTTGCTATTAGCAATAACTTGAGTTAGAGTATTGATACATAGCAAACAGAAGAGCCTTAAGATTTAAATGAATAACCTTTCCTACAACCGAAATTTCCAAAGTCCCGAGCTTTTATTTCATCATATTAACAAAAACTTACAGAATTCATAAACTTTCTTTAGTTTAAGGCAGTTTAATCTGATAAGCAGCATTTTCAATCCTATTTGACTATAAATACTCTTAACAGTAGTATGTAATGTTTTGATAGAAATTTTTAAGTCAGAACCCAAATCACACTGGATATGAGAATGGGAAAAATAACTTAAAAAATATATAACTTGAACCTTACCAACTCATTCTGGTCATAGTCTAAGATTGAGTTTTTATAAGCAGTAGTTTAGATTTTAATTTTCACAAATATTTCAGCAAGCACACTTAGACTTGAGTTCCCTCAACAATGATTTTGAAAAAAGTCTGTAAAGCACATCAATTGAACAAAATGGTCCTTTAAAAGAACACTGTCATAAGATAAAAATAGTGAGGAATTAGGTATAAAGATTTCAATTTAGGGCCTATGAAATGAAGGCCACAATATAATGTTTTCCCAAGAAAAGCACAGAATATTAGGGGTATAAAGTATCACAGGGATAATCTACTTTAATATTTTCATTTTACATATGAGAAAACTTAGGTACAGAAAGGCTAAATGTCCTGCCATATGTCACATAACCAGATAGTAGCACAGCTAGGTCATATGATTCCAACTCATTATTTTTTCCACTATACCATAACACAGAAAAAACTTTGAAACTGACAAAGTTTAAAAAATTTTACAAAGAGATTACAGGAAATTTACTAAAATTATTCAAATTTTTAAAAAACTCATTTTCTGCTACCGTTACACATATACACATTTAATTAAGTAAATAAATGTAAAACTCAGTAATAAATATTAAAGAGACATAAAATTGTCAAAGTACTCACAAATCCAAAAAGCAGGTACAGGTTAAGGGGATGTTTATGTCTGTTTAAAGTCAATGCAAAAATCAATCCCAAAGATCCAACGGCAAACACCAAAATTAATGCAGGACTGAAACACAAAATGAAAAGTAGTTTCAAGCTTAAAAAATAGCATAAATAGTATTATCAAATTTAATAACATTTGTCTATTTTATGTGTTTGTGAAAGTACAAAAAAATCTGGAAGGATCCACACCAAACTATAAAAAACAATTATTTTTCCATCTGGGAAATCTGAGGAGTAGGAGATGAGGAGGAGCAGCAGGATAAAGAAAAGGACCCACAATACAGAGGGAAGAATTTTCCTTTTTACTTCATGAACTTCTATCATATTTGAGTATTTTTGCAACTAGCATACTGCATTTTAACTAAAATACGAAGAAAAGCAATTAAATAAGAAATACATTTTATACCTAACTACTATTCTAGGGTATTTGTATGTAGCTATAACTTAAAGAACTTTTCCCCAAATTGCAAACTAATAATTCAAGACTCTCCCTCTGTAGGAGGAAGATAGGAATTGTCTACTCCTAAGAAAGCATTCATTTCTTATTTTACCTTTTCTGTAACGAAGAATCTATTTTAGCCTTGAAAATAATTATTTTGGAGGTCAGATCTTAAACAAATTTGAGATAAATCATATGGAGTTCCTTTGAAAACTTTTTATTGAAACTATCCTAGTCATGAGCCAACACTAAGATAAATTAAATATGCATTTATTAAATATTTTTGTTTCTCAACCACTCTATTAGGCTTCTGGGAGAAGGCATATGTCTAATAAAAGCACAAAAAATTAAGACTTGAAAACTGCATGCAGTAAAAATTTTGAATACTATTCTAGGAGATAAGAGCTTAACCCTACGAAACTATAAGCTAAAAAGTTCAGAAGTAAACACCATGTTGTAGAATATTTTCCTTATCAAAACAAAACTAATCTTATTTACAAGAGAAAATAACGAACCTTTTTTACATTCAAACATACAAAGTTAACAGAAAAAAAAAAAAGAACTTTGCTTATTCCCTTTTGATCATATGCAAAGGCTGAAAGTGATTCAGAATCACCTTACCTTTCATGTACAAATGTCCGTATAGACTCAAAGTATAAAAAAAATGCAGATGTCACAGTAGTTAAGAGAACTTGCAGAGAAAGGATGGTGTAGACTTTTCTCAGAAAGGCTAAAAAGAAAAAATTTACACATGATTATTTTCTTAAGTATATAATATAAAACAGCAAGATCAAATTTCTTCTCATAAATATTAAATTTTTATATGTATTCTTTCTTAAATCTTAATCCAAATACTGTAATTTGTAATTAAAACTTAAAATGCTTCTGAAGAAAAAAATTTTAATGGTAACTATTTTCTAAGAAGCATGAACTTAAAAAAAATTAATGGGCCGGCATGTAAATCTTTTCATCAAAATAAAAAGAAAGTACTAAATGCCTATTTGTAAACAGCACCATACAACAAAGCAGAAGATTAAAAACAGAGTATTTGTATAGAAGGATTCTGTCTTGAAAAGGAAATGCAGGAATAGAAAGCATATGGTTACATATAAATTTAAAAAGTAATTGTAATTTCCAAGCAGTACAATGTTTCTCTAAAATGAAACTTCCCTTGAAAGGCAAACAATATATAAACTTACTTTCAAACACCTATTTTTACTTCTCACTTACAGTACCTCTGCCTCTAATTTCTATACAGTAAGAAATTCTTACTTTCAGAATATTTTATAAATATCCATAAATGACTCCAAGGCCTAATGATTTTAAATACCTACTAAAGTCTCATGATTTACAGATAATATAAATAATACACTAAACACCCAACTCATCACCAGCCTCAGAAATAAAACATTAACAGTTCCTGCCTCCTCTGTGTAAATATACTGATAATAACAGCTTTTCTCCCTTCAATCTCTTAGCTAATTGCTAATCATCTTCCAAGATTCTGCCTGTCTCATTCCCCCAGTCTGAATTAAATGTTCTTCCTCATGTTCCCAAGGAACTCTAAACATAAGTCTAATCATTTTACTTTATAATTGATGTCCTACTTGTCCTTCACTCCCATTAGACTATTAAGACTAAAATCTCCCTAATAATATGGAGCATGTCTTATTCATATTCATACCACTAGCACTCAGCCAAATAAATTTATACTGAATTAATGAAAGGTGAATTTTGCCAGCTAGGGAAAAGAAAAGAAAAGAACACACACCAGGGCGTTTTCTTTAGTTTTCTTTGGGCAATATGACTAAGGATGATTTTCATGTTCAGTTATTGGCTAATTTGTGTTTTTTAATGTATCACTAATAAATGTATATTACTTTTGTAATGGAAAAACATATTTCAGAAACCTGTGCTTAGCCAAAATAATCCTTATGCAGATATTCCACATCATAGCTTTTCTATACTCTTTAAAAATGGGACCTTGCCTTGGCCACTGTGGCTCAGTTGGTTGGAGCATCATCCTGTAAACCGAAAGGTCACAAGTTAAATTCCTGGTCAAGGCACATACCTAGTTTGTGAGTTTGATCCCCAGGAGGGGCACATAGGCGAGGCAACCTATATATATGTTTATCTTTCACTTTGATGTTTCTCTGTCTCTCTCACTCTGGAATCAATGGGTATATCCTCAGGTAAGGATTAAAAATAATGGGGGAGGGGGCCTTAAATCCCAGGGAAAAGCAACATTTGATACCCAGTTTGAATAACTAATATAAAAAGTAGCAAAGGATATGCACACACAGATCACAGGTAAAAATAAAAGATTCAGTATGAAAATACAAGCCCAACAGCAATATCTTCTAAATTTTTTTGAGTCCTGATTTCTCTTCTATATAACATCTCAAACCTAACACAGCCAAAATAGTAACTCTTCATTTCTACTTAATTCTGTCCTCTCAGTCTTCTTTTCAGGAACCAGAACCAACACCCACCAAGATGAAAATGTAGGAGTCATCTCTGATTCCCCTCCCTCTTCCCAATCCATTAACTGCTACTGCTTCCACTTGCAAAGTAGAACATGTCCACCTCTTGGTTTCCTCTGCTACCTCTCTAGTCAAAGTCTGTATGATCTTGCACCTGAACTACTACTGTAGCCTAACTGGTCTCCATGCTTTCAACCTAGTCCCATCTAATTTGTGCGCCACAGTTATACAAGTGATCTTTTTTTTGTAAAATAAACCATATCCTGTGATTCCCTGCTTTAATACTTTTAACTTTTTTTCTTACACTTAGAATAACATTTAGAAGTTTTTATGGGCCCTACAAGGCCAGGTATGACATATAGAACCTATATAACCTCACTTCACACCACTCTTCCTTTTCCTCATAATCTTTACCCACACTGACCACCTTTCTGTTCCCCACACACGCCAAAGTCTTCCTTCTTCTGGGCCTTTGCCCTTATCTTATTTACATAGAATGGTGGTTTAAAATACATCCACAATTTTTGACATTTCCTTTAAGTGACTCACTTCTAACAAAAAGAATAAGGCAGAAGTAGCAGTTTATGTTTTATCTAATAGAATGAATCTTAATAAGAATCGCAGGATTCCCTTAAAGTTTACTGAATGATTTTATTGGCAAAAATACCACCAAATTATACCTGTCCTACCTTGGGGTGCTGGGTGTATGGGTACAAATATTGTCTCCTTAGTGCCAAACTCAAGAGAGGGTCTTGTATTGCATTGGAAGAAAGATAGATAACTTGTGGCCAGAGGAAAAACTGGTGGTTTAAAATATGCCTAAAAATTATTTGACACTACATTCAAAAGATGCAGCCTAAATCCCCTCACTTTGTGTGTTGACTGAACTTAGTGACCTACTTCTAATGCATAAAATAACGGAGATGTGACAATGTGCGTAATTCCCATGACAAGGTCATAACAAGTTGTACTGCTTCCTCATTACTCTTAAGGATCTACTGCTCTGAGGCGAAGCCAGCCACATGTTGAGGACACTCAAGCTGCCCAGGGAGTGGGTCGGGTCACGTGGCAAGGAAATGAGCTCTTCTGTCAACAGCCACGTTAGTGAGATTTCCTGGTAGCTGATCATCCAGCTCAGTCAAGCCATTAGCTGACTGCAGCCGCAGCCCACAACTTGACCAGAATTTCATGAGAGACCCTGAGCCAGATAGATTACCTAGCCAAGTCTGTCCCAGATTCCCAATTCTCAGAAGCTGCATGAGACAATAACTATTTGTTTTTTAAAGCTACTACATTTTGAGGGAATAGTCTATAAAGCAATACATAGCTAATACACCTGGTTAGCTCCTTCCCACACAATTGTCATTTCCTTTCCCTGAGCATTCTTTAAAAGAGCTGCCACTCTAAACCCTTGAGGTCTATTCCCTCACTGTTTATTTTCTTCAGAGAACTTATCACAGCTAGTATTCTATTTAATTGGTTACCTCTTTAGGATCTGTCTTCATCATTCCCCAATCAAATAATACTCTTGAAGATTGAAATATTGTGTGATCACTGCTATATCCCTAATATCAGCAGAGTCCAATAAAGCTTTATAAATGAAGGAAAATGTTCACCTTCACTCACATAGCCAATGAAATGCAAATTAAAACAAGATAGCATTTTTTCCTGCTGCAAGAGACAGCAATCTATGGCCCATTGGCCAAATCCAACCCACCACTTGGTTTTGTAAGTAGTTTTATTGGAAACCACCACACACACTCATTTATGTTTCCCCCTACAGCTGCTTTTGCACTATAACAACAGAACTGAGTAGTTGCCACAGACACCTTATGCCCCCAAAGAGCTGAAATTATTTACTATTTAGGCCTTTGTAGAAAGTGTTTGTCAACCCCTGATCTACCAGATTGCCAAATATTAAAAAGTTTAGATGTAGTCAGTTTAGTTACCAGCTGAATCACCAGAGCTCCTAAGTTAATAAAATGCTCCTGCATAATTTAAATATTCATGAATTAACAAATGGTTATTGAATTTCTGGTATTTAGTTCAGCATTGTTATAGTGATATGAGACATACAGAAGTAAATCAAGTATAAGACTTAATTTTTCTTTAAGAAGTCTACATATGCAGACAGATGGAGAAAGCATTCATCTAGGGATTATGAAATCTGGTTTCTAGTCCTGAGGCTTCACTGCAAAGAATCATGTTATTTTAGACAAGTGTTCTGAAGCTTAGTTTTCTGTAAAGCCTGGGTATGTATTATTTCAGGGGTTGTAATTCCAGGGCAAATGACAATACTGTTACTAGAAAATTTTTGAGCATTCATATATCTAAACCCAGGCTTCCCATGGGATTCCATTTTCTTCTTGAAGCTTTCCTAGAATATTTCAGTTCACATGATTTCTTTTTTTCCTTAAAAGAAAAGTTATTTATTAGGTCACAACCTTTAGGTTAGCTGGACGGTTCTTCTCTGAGCTGGCTCTGCTGGGGCTGGATGGTCAAGGATAGCCTCATTGTCTGGCACTCAGTGACAGAAATGGCTCTCCATGTGGTCTTTCTTTTCCAGAGAGCTAGCCTGAATTTACTCACAGTGGGCAGAGTTTCCCATAATAGGAGAGGCTGAACCCCAAAGCTCAATTACCTCTCAAGAAGTTCCTTATGTCACATTTATTAATGACTCATTGACCAAAAGCAAGTTACATGGCCAAGCCCATATTCCAGGAATGGGGAAACAGATTTCACTTCCCAATGGAAGAACAGTAAGGTTGCATTGCAAAGTGGAGTATATGTAAGAATAAAAGGGATTGTTGCCCTCATCTAGTGAATAATCTACACATACACCCAAAGTTATGCTATCTTTGAGTGTTCAATTAACACTGCCAGTAATTTCCATGTCTCAGTGCTCTTAATTCCTTCCCTAAACTCCCTCTGGACTTGGCACTTTAGAATTTAATTAAGTTGCTATCACAGATTAGTTTTGCTACTAGCCTACCTAATGCCATTAGGACAGCAACTGTGACTTTCAATTTCCTTACTGCCTTTACAGGCAGTAAAAAAAGGGGCTGCTTTTTAAAAATGTAGTTTATTTATTAAATGCATACTGATAGTACCTTGACTTAGCAAGATCTCTCTAATGAATGCCTTCTATTCACACATGGATTCTACCTCTACCGAAATTTAATTTTCTACAATGGCTTCCATTTTTCTATTCCCGTCCTTCCCTGAAGGGACTCATTCCCTTTCTTTA